TTGCCAGAGACGTACAAAAGGGGATACCAGGGGGGCCCGGCTCCCCTCAGAATTGAAAAGTATCATCTTCCCCCCTCAAAAAAAAAATTATAGATGTTTTGAATGCAACAATTCAAAAGTATTTGGTGCTGAAAGTAAAAAAAAAGGCGTAATTATTCTGCAGAAATTGATGGAAAATCGCCATCATAAGAGCTTCAAAATGCGTCCAAATAGATTTAAAATTTCAAAAATTTCCCGGGGGAGGCCCCCCGGACCCCCCTCTGTGCTAGGGGCCCGGGCCATAAAACTGGTACCAGGGCCCGAGATGGGATATGGCGGGCCTGTCCATGTGACTCAGTCTGGCCAAACCAGACCCAACATTTCTATGCAGTCCTTGCGTTCACAGTCGTATCTCGTATCTCGTTATAACGTTTCTCGATGCAACGTTTTTCCCTGTAGCATTTTCCGGTTCATCTTTTTCAGTTTCGGCCAGGCGTTTAGGGTACAGCATTTGACGGCAACGTTATTTCGGAAAGAAAACTCTACTTTTGATCCCTCTTCGAAAGTGCCATAATGAGAATCGACTGTATAAATATGTATGCATATATAAAATGGAATTTTTTCAGTTGAACCGTTTACAAGGCAAAATTATGGATGATACACCGTAAAAGCACGGAAGTTGCAATGCTGGTAAACTCAAATACGTATGGGTTTCCCGTTGAAAGGTACGGGTAAATATATGGGGTTTTCGTGATGAATTTTGAAAGATTGCCTTGGGGGTGTTCAATTTCCGAACAAACTCCGTTTTAACACGTCCCCGCGGTCTAATTCCTCGTGTTTTGGTTCATTCTTTTTCATTCCTACATCCCACTTTTCGAACGGGTGGATTTTTTGTTAAAAGGTACGATATAAGGTTTTCGTAATGACTTTGAGAAAATAACGTCCCAGTCAACAAATAAAATCCCAGTCAATTAAATCACGTTCCCCCAGTTCAATCTTTTGTGTTCTGGGTCACTTTAGATTGTTTCTCTAATCATTTTTATATCTCAATTTTAGCATTTTATAAAAATAAAATTTTCGCTTTTTGTAGCTGTAGAAACGTCGCTTTTCTCGAAGCTTGAATTGCCGTTTTTTTTGTCACTGTATCAATCGCTAATACTCTGGTTTCAATCACGACGTATTCATTGTTGAATATTAAATATTATCTGAAGCACTAAGAAAATTTTCTTTGTTAAATGTTAAACAAGTCATCTTGGTGTGTTCGGGAAAAAATTCTGCCCGAGAGAAATTTCGAACGAGTGACGGACGCGACGGCGCGGCGCACGGTGGATCGAGTCAATGGGAGGGGGTCGGTCATCGCGTATCACGCGTCTCATTTGCTCTGATTACAGAGATTTCCCGCCCTTAGATCAGAACCAATTATCATTGCTTAGTGTATTTTTCGTCGTAGATTCCGTATTACTCCATATAAAGCTGCCTCACCGGCTCACTCTGCCCCCCTAGAGAAAAATTGGCCGAAGCGATTTCCTTTAAACTTGGTACATACTCAGCAATTGTCGTGAGGAGTTGATCAAAATTATTCCGATTCCAATCCGCTGCCTAGGACGCCCGCAAGAGCGAAAAGTTATTTCTCCCTACAGTATTGCCTTGGAGATACGCGGTTGTTTACGCACACCGCGCCGAGCAGGTTCAATCCTGTTGCCTGACGTCACAGCCTTATAGACGAAACGTAAGGTTTTAGGAAGTATTTTTCGACGGATTGTTGCGAAAATGAGTACGTGGCGGTATTTTTCCACGGGAAACTCGAATTCTTGGTCGGATTTTCAAAATTTCAAAATCCAAGATGGCGGCCGTGGCCTAAAATGCTCAGTCGGCTCCTGTTCGATCGATTTTCGTGAAACTCTGTATCCTGGGGTATTGTTCCCCTAATTATAACATATTATAGCCCAATAAAGAATTTTAATACGATTTTGACTCACTTTCATGACTACTGAAAATGGGATCCTTGATAGCTTATTTTTTACGTTACTTTCGGTGAATGGGGCCGTAAGCGTCTTACATAAATAATTTTGCAAAACTTGACTCAAGGACATTACTTGAGGAGTAAGGGAGGGTGGCTTCACAGTTCCCTCGCCACGAGGGTTGCCATAATTTTTTCAATTTCTTCGAACATCGTTTTTTATTCATGTTAAGTGGTTTCTCGCAATTGCACACCGACACATATACGGACCATTCAGATAATGTTAATTTTTCTTTTCTTTTCCTCCAGCCAGTCAATGACGTTTTCATTTTTATGAACCCCCTACTCTTTCAGTAATTCACCAAACATGCATATTTTCAAAAAATAGATCAATATATTAAAGAAATAAAATCCCCGTGTCCTTTTTGGCTGTTTCCTCCAAATCGACGGAAATGCCTTGTTCCGCTCCTCTACAACAACCCCGTTCTTTATAGGATGACATTGTACTAATACGCCTGACGGTCAACGCACAGAGGGTTGCATAACTATAAGGCGATCGAACTGAACGCGCAGCACAAGATGCGAAAAATTACGGACCCTCCGCGAGATTTACGTACTTTTAAGGTACTTCGACGGTGTAAGTCGGCAATCACATAACTCGTTTGCGGTGTCTAAAAACCTCCGCCTCTATTTTATTTTTTTAAAGGAGAACAAATTGATATCATTCCTTGAAGTTTTTGCAGAATTTTCTTCGCACAGAGATAAAAAATCACGACAGTTTTAAAGAATTGCCGTTGAGTAGTTTTCCGTTTCAAAAATAAAGTATGATAGGAAGTCTGCGACGTCGCAAACCGAGTTATGTGATTGCCGACTCACACCGTCGACTTACGGACCGACCTTAAAAAATGTGTACTTTTTCCGGACTTTCTGGACTTTACGGACTGGTAGACACCCTGCATCATTTTACGTGGATGATTATTTAGAGGGCGGAGACTCAGTAATGCAAGTTAAAAAACTAAAAAAAGACGTAGAAAAATTTTTGGAGACGGGAAAATTTCAACGACGGAAGTTACTTAACTTCATCAAGGGTTTTAACAGGGTGTCTCATACCATCCGTACAGGGCCTTTGTCTCGGTTATTTTAGGTCGCACGAAATCAGGTTACAGTCAGGGTAGCTCCAGTCAAAGTCAATTTTTCTCCGCCCATATGCACCAAAATAAAAACCAACCTGTCGTTGGAAAGCTGAAATTGTCAACTTTAGAATGGTACCTTGTTTTTTTTTTTTTTTTTGTAGCGTTAAAAATCATGAGTGAAAAATAGGAATCTCCGTCGAAGACGAAACCTTGTATTTTGGCGACTCTTTTTTGTGGGGAGTCATCTCTTAATTTTTCCCCAGTCATTTTTGGGGGGATTTTGGTCATTCTGAACATTACCTTAGAGTCCTATGTCCCATAAGACACATTATGAATCACACCTGACTCAGTGAAAATGCATACTTGCCAAATTTGGCAACCAAGCATTTTAGCGCACCATGCATTAGCGCAACTCCTCCCCCCCCCNCCCCCCCCCCCAAGCGTAAAAACGGCAAATTGCCACTATTATGGAACGCCTTGGCCGATTTCGCTGAAATTCAATAGGAAACCAATCTTAGTAGATCTCTAACTACCATAAAAATTTCAGCTCAAAATATTCATTCTCACCCAAGTTATCGCGTGGACAAAATTAAACCTCCACCCTTTTTGACCCCTCGCTGTGCGAAAAGTAATTATCGTATTCCAATTTTTTCTTCACAGTATAAAAGTACTCTTAGGGGACTATAAACCCCTGAAAGAGCTTGATGCAAAAACGGCTTTTTTCGCCCCCCCCCCCTCTGGAATTTCTTCAGACTTTGTCTATTGATTACTCATACTTGAGCGCTTCTTTTCCGAAATTTTCAGACCCCCAAACAATTTTGGGGGGAAGCTAGGGCGGTGGGGGGGGAGGTGGAAGTCAAAACCTGTGAACCTTGACATCTCTCGAACGAAGAAAGATATCGAGGTCCGGTTTGGACGAAAAATCGTCTGAAATTGCATACTTTAAGATTCTAAAGGTCAAAATCCCGATATCACATTTTTAAGTTAACATATGTGCTTTTTTCCAGTTTTTAGGTCTAGAAAATTTCTTTTAAGCAAAGAACTTGCAAAAATCTCAATTTTTATCGGAACCAGAACCCGTTTTTTAAATTGTTCGTCTTTTTCCGCATCCAACGAGTGGTTCATTAAACTGGGGAACCGAACGGTTCCGGAGTTATGATCGATTGAAGTTTCCGCTCAACGCGCGCCGACCAATTTTGGAGCGCAAAAAAGTCGGATTTGAGTGTTATTAAATCAGATTGAATGTTCAAACTGAGCGAAATGCATTATTGGGGACTCATGAGGGTCGCAGAGTTCAGAAATTACAGCTACTTCCAAAAAATTCACGTTTTTAAAATTACAGCTCGGTAGCCCGAGAAAAAATGGATCATTCAAGCTCATTGAAAAATGAACGATCCGGATCATTCAATTTGAATGAGTTTTTCGTCAGCTCATTCAAATTTGAATGATCCAGATCGTTCACTTGATCATTGAATTTTAATGCGCCCGAATGAGCTTGAATGATCCGGATCATTGGATTTCAATGAGCTTGAATGATCCGGATCATTGGATTTCAATGAGCTTGAATGATCCGGATCATTGGATTTCAACGAGCTTGAATGATCCGGATCATTGGATTTCAACGAGCTTGAATGATCCGGATCATTGGATTCCAACGAGCTTGAATGATCCTGATCATTGGATTTTAACGAGCTTGAATGATCCGGATCATTGGATTTCAACGAGCTTGAATGATCCTGATCGTTGAATCCCAGCCAGCTTGAATGATCCTGATCGTTGCATTTCAACGAGCTTGAATGATCCTGATCGTTGAATCCAAACCAGCTTGAATGATCCTGATCGTTGAATTCCAATGAGTCAAGGTCTCGGTCTGATGAGAATCTGTTATAAAAAATTGTAAACAGTATAGAAGCAAAAGTACATGGGTATCCATTCTCACTGCTTTGCAGTTTTTCTTCAACAGAAAAATGAAGGGGGAAAAAAAAAACATATGATGATAGAAAAAGTTAAAAAAACACAGGCTCACCAGAAGTTTCGTCCAATTCCTCTTGAAGTAAGCTCATCCTCCGCCCTATTACAGTAATAGCGTGAATGTACCTTTAATAAAAGTAGTTTGAAGGTGAAAATTTTTGCTACAAACCATCTCCCCCACGCTGTCAAGAATGCAAACCACAAAACAGTCATGATGGGAGAGGCTCGTAGCTTTGCCGCCGAGTTGCAAAGCTGCCGCGGGGATACTTTCCATCAACAACTGAAAAATTTAACTAAAAAGAAACATATTAAATTAACAGCATAACCAGACAAATGTTGAATTGAAGAATGAACCGCGCGTTTAGAATTGCATGAGTGACATCCCTGTTACTCTGATTTAAAAGAAAGAAAGCAGCAAAAATTACATAGGGATACAAGGATATGTAATTGATTTTGTCTTTGAAATAATTAAATTACTTAGATTGTGCTTTGAATTGAAACAAGCCAATAGGTACTTACAATTTTGTGCTTGAGTGTTTGTTCAAATGAAGTGTCAACGATGGAGACCATATTATTGGAGTAAAAATGTATCTTCAGAACACAAAGCAGTGCATTTGATGGCTGGAGCACAACTCACAGGTATAAGGTAAGATCATACTGATAATTTGTTAAACGGTCTAGGGAAAAAACGAGAAAATTTAAAGCAACACAGAAGAAAAATCTGAGCGGCGACACGCTAATGATACGCAGGCAGTAAGACTAATCGTAGTCCTAGACTGATCAGATCAGACCAACGCGAGCCCCGCGAGCCCTCGGCCGCGTAGGTTTGGGGTGGAATTTCCAAATCTTCCCTTGCTCAACGGCATCTTCCTTTGTTTTCCTCACGCAGCAAACTGCAGAGTGGCCAGTGGCGGGAGGCGGGGAAGTAACGGCGTTGCCACATTGCTTAAATATTCTTCCATCCTCCTGTCTTAAGGGTTGCTACGATTACGTCACTTTCTTGTCTCTATTTTTTATATTATCATGTAAGGCTCATTTTTTTTATTGTCATAAGACTAACGAATTTACCGGAAAAGCTAGTGTGAGGGAAACCCTTCTTTTCTCGATAATTAAAATCCTCTGCTCTGTAATTTCTCTTCTATACTGCTTTGAATTCTATCTCTTGTTATTTCCCTAGACTGTTTAACAAGTTATAAGTATGAACTTACCTTATACTTGTGAGTCGTGTTCCAGCCAGTTCCAGCCATCAAATGCACTGCTTTGTGTTCCGAGGACACAATTTTATTCCGATAAAATTTTCTCCATTGATGACACTTCATTAGAACGAACACTCGAGCACAAAATTGTAAGTACGTTCGGCCTTGTTTCAATTCAAAGCACAATCTAAGGTAATTTAATTATTTCAAAGACAAAATCAATTACATATCCTTGTATCCCAATGTAATTTTTGCTGCTTTCTTTCTTTAAAATCAAAGTAACGGCGACATTGCTCGTGTAATTCTAAACGCGCGGTTCATTCTTCAATTCAACATTTTTCTGGTTATGCTGTTAATTTAACATGTTTCCTTTTAGTTAACTTTTTCAGTAGTCAATGAGAAGTATCCCCGCAGCACTGCCGTGCTAAGGAAGAACGCCGTATGAATATTTGAGAGTTGCCAAATTTCCCTTGATAAAACATGTATTTTTGAAAACATTCTTGTATATTTTTCCTTGAAAAGTTCAGATATTGTGGATTAAATTAAGTACAAAATTATCTGAAAATTTCAGAAAGTAACATCCGCAATTTCCCAGTAAATTTGGTTTTTATTGGAGGAAATTTGGCAACGTCTGAAGGCTCATACGACGTTCTTCCTTGGCACGGCAGAGCCAGAGCAGAGCTAGCTTTACAACTCGGCGGCAAAGCTACGAGCCTCTCCCATCATGACTGTTTTGTGGTTTGAATTCTTGACAGCGTGGGGGAGATGGTTTGTAGCAAAAATTTTCACCTTCAAACTACTTTTATTAAAGGTACATTCACGCTATTACTGTAATAGGGCGGAGGATGAGCTTACTTCAAAAGGAATTGGATTAAACTTCTGGTGAGCCTGTGTTTTTTTAACTTTTTCTATCATCATATGTTTTTTTTTTTTTTTTTTTTTTTTTCCCCTTTCATTTTTCTGTTGAAGAAAAACTGCAAAGTGAGTATGGATACCCACGTACTTTTGCTTCTATACTTTTTACAATTTCTTTATGATAGATTCTCATCAGACCGATACTTGAATATCCGAATCTGCTGATCAGATCATCCATATCATTCTGGTGGCTTATTCAACTTCAATAATCTTGATCGTTGATTTAATAAGCTTGAATGAGCCAGCATGTTGGGTCGTCCAATTTCAATGCTCTTGATGATTCAGTTACGATAAGCCTGATCATTGGCCCAATGAGTTTGAATAAGCTGATAAATTGAATCATTCAAATTGAATGATCCTGATTATACAAGTTGAACGATCCAACGAGTTAGTGCATCCATGTTGAATGATCGAATGAGCCAGCGCATTCAAGCACATTGGGTGAATGACCCGATGCACATTCAAGTTGAACGATCCAATGAGCCAGCGCACTCAAGCTCATTCGGGATCATTCAAGCTCATTGAAGAATCATTCAAACTCATTCAGGATCATTGAAAATTGAATGATCCTGAATGAGCTGGAACGATCCATTTTTTCTCGGGAGCGCTATTTTAGAGGCCCACTGAGCGCCGACCGGCCGCTCATTGGTCCTTTACAGGTCTGAAAATTTCGGGAAAGAAGCGCTCATGTATGAGTAATCGATAGACAAAGTCTGAAGAAATTCCAGAAGGGGGGGGGCGAAAAAAGCCGTTTTTGCATCAAGCTCTTCCGTTTCAAGAAACTGAAAAATTAACTGCCGCTCAAAGCTCTAAAAACTCAAAAATATTCACGCTGGCTGAAATACGTACGTACATGCATACATACATACACACATACGTACATACATACATATAAACATACATACGTACATATATTCATACATACATACGTACATATGTACATACATACATACATACATACATACATACATACATACATACATACATACATACATACATACATACATACAGACCACCCGTCCACTATCTTTTTCTCGAAAACGGCGGAGAATTGAGCTTCCGGACAAAAACTTTCATGGGGTAAATCGACCCCAAAGAATCGAATGACAATATTTTCAGCCCCCCAAAATGGCCCCTTGGGGAGGTTTAAGAGGGGAGCCCCCCCGTTTCCCGCAATTTTCAAATAGGAAGGGTATGTTTTGACTTTGGATTCGGAATCTACGGTAAAAAATAAGACCATTTTGTTCTTTGCTTTTTTTCCCTAAGCCCCCTTTTTTTGGAGTTATGGGGCATTTTTGGGGAAATTTTCAATTCTACGCTGTAAGCGGCCAAATCATCCAAATTTCAAAATCTAAAAATCTCCTGAGAGGAGAGGTCAATACCTTTTTATTGATGTGCCACATGACTCCTGTTGCTCCAAAATTTTGGGGGCCACGACCCCCCAAAAATTTTGGGGCTTTGGAGGGCCGTAAGTTAAAAATGTCAAAAGGCAACGGTATGTTTTGACTTCAGATTTGGATTCTACAAGAAAAGTTACGTAGAATTGATATGGCGCATGGCCTATTTGCTCCAAATTACTGAAGATCCCCCTTTCCCCATGAGAAGCCGTGTTTTTTTGGAGAAAATAAAGGGTAAAAAAAATTGAGCAAACAAGCCTTGCGCCGAATAAATTTTACGTAACTTTTCGCGTAGAATCCAAATCTGAAGTCAAAACATACCCTTGCATTTTGACATTTTCGACTTACGGCCCTCCAAAGCCCCAAAATTTTTGGGGGGTCGTGGCCCCCAAAATTTTGGAGCAACAGGGGTCATGTGGCACATCAATAAATAGGTATTGACCTTTCCTCTCGGGAGATTTTTAGATTTTGAAAGGACTACGTGCAAAACGGGCCATTTGGGGCTTGGGGCCGATACCTTTGAGACTTGCCCTATTTATTCACCTAACAAAGCCCTATCTTACCCCAAAGTTTCAAGCCCCCCAAAAATTTTGGGGTGACTCGGTGGGGGGTCAAAGTTTAAAACCGGCAAAATTTTCGCGAATTCATTACTCGAAAACCAAGAAGTTTTGGAAAACGCGGTTTAAACGAGCGCATTCAGCGTGACGAGAGCTTTCAGAAAATTTATAACATCATAGGGTTTTGTCAACTTCAGCTCGAGTTATCGCCTTCGAAGCGCCGGAACACTCCAAAAAGACCCCTTATTTTTTCACGTTTGGGCCGATTTAAACAAAAGCCATTTTTTTATTTTGATGAAAAACTGACATGTTGTTCCTGACTCTCTGTAGCCTCTCTAGCTCTTTACCGCATGCTGGGGAAATGTTATGGTCGCGAGTTATAAGAGCGGAATGGAGCGAAAGTCGGGAAAATTGGCTATTTTAAACTGCGCGCGTGGCGTTGATCAGAGGGAAAACGTCCCCTCCCACTCAGTTCGGCGAATCACACTCCTCTGCCGACCTCGCATTGTTGCCACGTGTCTCCTGATCCGTTGCCGCGCGCAGTTTAAAATAGCCGATTTTCCTGACCTTCGCTCCATTCCGCTCTTACAACTCGCGACCAAAACATATCCCCAGCATGCGGTAAAAAGCTAGAGGGGCTACAGAGAGTCAGGAACAACATATCAGTTTTTCATCAAAATAAAAAAATGGTTTTTTTTTTAAATCGGCCCAAACGTGAAAAAATAAGGGGTCTTTTTTTTATTGTTCCGGCGCTTCGGAGGCGATAACTCGAGCTGAAGTTGACAAAACCCTATGATGTTATACATTTTCTGAAAGCTCTCGTCACGCTAAATACGCTCGTTTAAACCGCGTTTTTCAAAACTTCTTGGTTTTCGAGTAATAAATTCGCGAAAATTTTGCCGGTTTTAAACTTTGACCCCCCACCGAGTCACCCCAAAATTTTTGGGGGGCTTGAAACTTTGGGGAAAGATGGGGCTTTGTTAGGTGAATAAATAGGGCAAGTCTCAAAGGTATTGGCCCCGAGCCCCAAATGGCCCGTTTTAAACGTATTCCTTTCGATGATTTTGCCGCTTACAGCGTCGAATTGAAAATTGCCCCAAAAATGCCCCATAACTCCAAAAAATGGGGGTTTAGGGAAAAAGTGCAAAGAACAAAACGGTCTAATTTTTTACCGTAGATTCCGAATCCAAAGTCAAAACATACCCTTCCTATTTGAAAATTTCGAGAAACGGGGGGGGGGCTCCCCTCCAAAACCTCCCCAAGGGGCCATTTTGGGGGGCTGAAAATATTTTCATTCGATTCTTTGAGGTCGATTTACCCCTGGAAGTTTTTGTCCCGAAGCTCAATTCTCCGCCGTTTTCGAGAAAAAGATAGTGGACGGGTGGTCTGGATTACCCGTATATACGGGCTCCCCCTGACTGTCGCAGCCGAGGACCTCATTACGTACATCAAAAGAGAAATCTTCACAAATTGGCAACAAGAGTGGACAGTGTATTGCCAACATAAAAATCCTCCAATGTCCATATTCCCTCAATTGTCTGGTCTACCACGAGCAAATCAAGTAAAATTAACCAGGCTGTGCATTGGGCACACGTCTTTCACCCACCAATACATAATCAAGAAAGTCCAACCCCCCACCTGCATCTCTTGTAAGGTCCCCCTCTCAGTTAAACATGTTTTAATATCTTGCCCTACATATCAACAATTAAGATCCAAAATTGTCCCTCCACTTTCTGATCTCCATACCATCCTTTCAAAGTATTTCCGTGGAATTCCTCTCTTTTTCAAACGAATTAATCTCCAAAATAAATGTATTCTTTCCTTGTCCTGACTTTTATTTTTGTAGTACCTTTTTGTGATCCCAACTTTTTTAATTTTTAAATTCTGTACTACACCATTTTAATCTCTCCTCTAAGGTGTTAATGGCTCAATTTATTGTTAAAACGTATCTACCAACCAACCCTACATACATACATATTTTGATCTGTCCACTAAGGTGTTAATGACTCAATTGTTAAAAGCACCAAATAAACGTATCTACCAACCAACCAACCATATATATATACCCTAAAAGAAGTATTATGTATGTATTACGTAAAAAACCGTCCCCTACTTGCCGGCAACCCCACGGAAAAGCCTGCCGCTTGCGGCAGGGTTTTGATAGGTTTTCCATCATTCTGCGGTTTTCCCGCATGGTGGTATTTCAACTTCCACTAATGTGCAGTTTTCCTGCAACAGTTAACACTTTTCATGCTATTTGCGGTTTTCCCGTTAGGTGACATTCCAATTTCCTCCAATGCGCAGTTTTCCTGCAACATTTAGCACTTTTCATGCTATTCGCTTACATGTACGTCTACATGCAGCGCATTTTTTATTTATTTCGCTTGATCCAACCTTTTCGGTTGTAACAAACTTTATTTTTAAGAAATGCTTTGACCAAAACTTTTTGTCTAGGACAAACATTTCTGTATCAGCTGATACAAGCCATAACCTTTTCAGCTGTGACGAGAGCTAGGGCTGCTCTATCGATTGTCGGTAAGCTACCGAAACAGTTCCGTTAAGAAAAAGTTACGATAAAGGCGCTCTTGCCGATAACGATCAGAGTTTTTGGAGC